CATTTAGCTCAAAACACAGCTGAGTACGAACAACAAAGCTTTGCTCGCGTAGCCGCTCAGCCTCAATTTGTGTAAGTTGTTACCAGTTTGCCAAACGGTGGGCGCGTTATTCTCTGGGGAGGACGTATTTGTAGCTTTGCTTATGGCTGCTTGTAATTACTGATGCTCTCATTCTGCTGCCTTCACTTTCACACTGAATTGACATCAATCCTCAGCTTTTTATCTGGAAGAGTAAAGCTTATAGTTTCTAAATATATCCTTCAGTCGTAGGTGCTGTGTTTATTATTATCAGATAAGCTCAGAATTTTGCTTACAGACTCTGCTTCTCTCTCTCTCTCTCTCTGTCTCTGGTCAACGCTAAAAGGAAACTCCGTGGATTTGACACATTGAAGTGGCATTTTCACACTTCACAGAGCATCGCATGCAGCATGACAAGAGGGGAGAGAGGGAGCTCGCAGTGGCAGGAGAGGAGTCGGAATGACAAAGAGGGAGAAATGAAAGCTGGGAGGAGGAGGAGAGGAATATTGGGATTTTGGTTCGTCAGATCTTATTTTTACTCCCACCACCGGCTGACACTGACGCTCTCAAACTTTCACTCATTACCAGCTCTTCTTCCTGCCCCCCTCCCCTCCACCTTGTTTGAAGCACCGATCTCTCTTCCTCCCACACTCTCTCTGTCTCCTGAGGTTTTTTTCCTTCCTGACTTTGTTTCTTCTTCCTCCCCGTTTTCCCCCCGTTCTGTGTGTTTTCTTTGACCGTCTTTTTATCCGGCTGGTTCCCTCCGTGCTGCCGCTCCTCTTGGTCTTAGCACAGCTGTTACAACCCTTCTCACTCGTTTGCTTTCGTTCACACACACAGTTCTTCTCCACTGCCAGCTCCACACTGTCTTCGCTTTTCTCTCTTATGTAAAAATCTGTGTTTTCTCCCCCCTTTACCTTGTAAACACACACACATGCACACACAAGCTTACCAGCTCTCTCCTCACACATCACTGTTCTCACATTTCCACTTTGTGTAAGAGGCACACACACTTTTTACCCACTAGCTCTCCCCACCGCACACACATTGGTAGACTCTCTCCTCTCTCTCTCTCCCTCTTTTCCTCCCTCCCAGTTCTACACATTCTCTCTCTCAGTCCTCATCTGCACCTCAGCAGAGTAACATGTTGCCTCGTTGCAGCTCCAGCGCTGTGCACTAACCAAAGGCTGCCAGCTCCCCTCTCACACTGACCAAACATACAGAGCAAACAAGAAGAATAAACAACAAGAAAAAAGGATCCGAAGTCTCATCTTCCCTCTTTGGAGTCCGACCACCTCCTCTGACAGGAGGAGGAGGAGGAGGAGGAGGAGGAGGTAGAGAAGATCAGTTTTCACACCGTCCTGACTCAGTTTGCCACCTCAAGCAGAAGGAGTGGCAGAGGATGCGAGGCAAACTGCAGGAGCTCAAAAGTTGGCTCTCTTTCACTCGGCCGTCCATCCATCGCTCACAGCTGAGCAAACTTTTGTAAAAGAGGAGGAGGCGGCGGACGTTGGCGGGCGGAGAGGAAGAGAGAGCGAGAAAACATCCCAGACTTCGCTCGTCGCTCTGCGCACGTGTCCTCGTCAGCGGGAAAAGCAGCACCATCCATCCAGAGGCGGCTACCCATGTGGCAGGAGGCTCTGTGGACCCGCGGACGCTACCTGCTGGAGAAGAACGATGGAGGCGAGGGTGCCGAGGGGCCTGAGAGCCTGGGGGACGGCTGCCCGGGGTTCCAGGGCGAGGTGTGCGCGGAGGGTGAGAAACCTCAGGACTGGTTGTACGAGTCGTACTACAGAATGAGCCAGCAGCATCCGCTGATCGTGTTCCTGCTGCTGATCGTCATGGGAACCTGCCTCGCACTGTTGGCCGTGTTCTTCGCTTCGGGACTGGTGAGTGTGTGTGTGTGTGTGTGTGTGTGTGTGTGTGTGTTAACAGCGTGTGCATGTGCAGGGTGAAGTGTTTAGACAGGATTTTAGAGGTGTGGGTAGTTAATCCACCCAGAAAGACGGGAATAGTGTCGTGTGTGCTTTAATATACATTTATACATTTATACACAGGAAATATTGTTGCTGTTGTGAATTTTCATATAACTAGAGTTGCTCTAGCCAAAGGTAACAAACTGTATAGAGGTGGTAGGTCCAGCTCTATAACTCACCCATTATGATGTTTTATCATCTTTGCATGCTCTGTGCAAAAAAAGGTAAAAACTTTTTTTTTCTTGTAACTCTCTGCAAGAAACGTGCATTTTTGAAGATTTCCTAAACAGGAGGATGTGATGGTTTTTGTTAATTTTAAATTTTTTTTATTAGAATTAATTAGTTAAATTTGTTTCTATAATGGTGCAGTTGGTAGCACTGTTGCCTCGCAGCAAGAAGGTTGCCGGTTCACGTCCCGGTGGGGGCACCAGAATCTTTCTGTGTGGAGTTTGCATGTTCTCACCGTGCAGCGTGGGTTCTCTCTGGGTTCTCCGGCTTCCTCCCACACGGTCCAAAAACATGTTGAGGTTAGTTGGTAATTCTAAATTGTCCGTAGGTGTGAATGTGAGTGTGTTTGGTTGTCTGTCTCTATAAGTGTGGCCCTGTGATAGACTGGTGACCTGTCCAGGGTGTCCCCTGCCTTCACCCTAAGTCGGCTGGGATAGACTCCAGCCCCCCATGACCCTAGTGAGGATTAAGTGGTGTATAGATAATGGATGGATGTTTCTATAATGAGGCATATTGAATGAAAACTATATTGCATTAAATGAGATTCAAGTTTGCCAGAATAAAGGGCCACAGTGTGTTTGTAATGGTGTGGAAAGCACATTTCATTATAGTACCAAAAAAAAAGATCCTGCATCACTTCAAGCTGCTTTGTATTGTCAAGGGTCACATAGAAGCCTTCTTGTTGGGATCACAAATGACTGTTAGAATATAGGACGAGTTTTGGTTTTGGCATGAGACCAAACGAGGCGGGGCAGAGGGAGCCATGTGCATGTTGTATGATTATGTGTGACAGCATAAGTGGCCGTGACGCAGCCCTTTAAATTGCAACGCCGGGTTCGCAGCAGAGTGGATCAAGAGCGGGATGAGAGTTTAGTCCGTGGCTGTGTGGGTGTTGGTGCTTTTGTCAAGTGAAAAGTGTTGTTTTGGCCACAAACACTCAACCGCAAACACACGCTATTGTTTCTCGAGTGCTGCTTTTGTGTTTTATGAAATAGTCGCACAAAAGGAAGCCCACTCGTTGCTGTTGTTGTTTCAGAATGATTGTTTTGCTGCTATATGTTTGGGCCGACCTGTAGACTTATGTTCTGCCCTCTCTGTGTGTGCATCATGTGCGCCTGGAGGCCGTCACTAAAGTACCGTTACATTCATTTCAACTCAATAACGCGGTTGTTCTCGGGAGCATCTCAAGCTAAATCGATCGCTCTTACTTCTATTTAAGACAAATCAATAGATCTTATTGCCCCTACTAGTCGATTTAATTCGCCAAGTTCTCCTTTTGCCCCCTGGGGCTCAATGCTTCGCAGGTTAAATTACAATCACCACCAATCATCTCCCATCGTTCACAACGCAAATCGAAATCATTCTCTTTTTTTTTATTCCCTCCGGTTTGTTTCTATTAAATAACAGACATGCCCGTCTGTGGTGATGAAGTGCTTGTGCAGTGAGGCGTGTATATTTATTACTGCTAGACGAAGAAGAATGGCAGGAATAAATAGAGGTTGGGTTTGGAGCTGGGGGGCCGGGCAGCGGAGGGAGGGGAGGATGTTGTTGTAAGTGTTCTGGCTTTATCAGCGAGCCGGCAGAAACCCAACCAAAGCAGCACTAATGCTCCCAAAATTACTGCACACTTTTATCTTTCCCCACAGATTAGGGCTGGAGCGGGTGAATGTGGTGTTTGTAGGAGGCTGACTCCTCCACCCAGTCTCTACAGTATGTGTGTGTTCGCCTTGGTATGTACATGTTTGTGGTTGTGTGTTTGGGTGTGTTTGTCTGAGGAAGTCTCTCATTTCCTTCTTAGGCTTATCTAGGTAATGTTTACAGAAAATAATTCTCATTCTTTCTCGCTGCCTTGAAGTCGTATTGACCGTAATGTGTGCGGCTATACATTTGTAGTCGTGTACTTACATGCTTTAATGCGTAGTGTGCGTTCACGGAACCAGCAGTTACATGGCGGTATGTTAACTTGATGGCATTTAAAACACAACTGGACAGTTTAATTGAGATCAATATTGCGTCTAATGATGGAACATTGGAAATCTATGACCTGGACACACCAGCTCATTGATTACAGCATTTTTTTTTATCGACACAATGTTTATTTCAGTTCATGTTTCTGCCGGGTTAATATTGTCTGCAACCTATTTTTAGCCTTTTACAGTCTGTTGATATTTTATGTAAAGCCAAAACACAGATTTCGTTCCGATCTCGTTGACAGCTTGATGGATGCGGGGCAGTGAGAGAACGGTGTTTTTGCGATGATGGATCACCAGCTGTTGCTGAGGGGAAGGAAGGTGAATGAATGGGATGAAATAGATGTTGTGACATCACTGACTAGGTGTGGTCAGAGCTGCAGCACCAACAGAGCAACAATGATCTGCCGCTACACAAAAATACAAGACTGTGATTATATTAAGATGTTTGCATGTTGTAAAATAGCATGCATCAAAAAGACACCACACAATAACGTGTAGATATACAAATTAAACAAAACCATTGACTGTTTGTAAAAATATAAAAATGGACAAACTCTACAGGATGTCACCAGTAGGGCTGGACCCCAATAGCCGACTATTCGTTCGCTGTGCTGGAATCAGGATATCAATTTTGATCTCCAAATTATACACCCCACCCCCTCCGCACGCTGACGCCACGGAAACGGTGCCGTGACCGCTAATCCAAACACCTAAACTGGTCTTTGTAGCGAGCCACATAGTTGTTGGAAAATTAGCAATAGAAAGCAAAACTGTTTTTTGTACTATGTTTATTGGTGCTGTTAAGGCTTTTTAACATGATGGTGATTGACTCACTTTCAGACCCAACCTCGTGTGGACATTCAAACATTCAAGGAAGTGCAGTTTTTAACAGTAAACGCACACCAAATAAAAATGAAAAGGGATTGAAAAAAAATTAAAAATTAATAAAGACCACTACGAAGAAGCGGTGAAATGATTGTTTGTTTGTTTGTTTTTTACAATTTTACCTTTCTCAGTTACATCTAATGCCAATAAGGTATCTATTGTGGATGAGAAGCGAATTCTGTTGTATTATCGTACAAAAGTATGACTGTACAATGACAATAAAGATTTACCGATCTGTGTAAAAAAGAATATTTATAATAAAATCAAAGCACCAGAGGCCAAGATATTCTGACTTTTAGTCTATACTAAGAGTCAAGGTCCAAAAAGGATACTGAACTTCCCATAGTGCAACTCAGCTTTATGTTTTTGCTTGGCCATGCATCACAGGTCTCTGAAACTGTTACTCCCAGTTTGTTAGGAAACCTGCCATGTTTACCACCCCATACATCCATCCATTATCTATACACCGCTTAATCCTCACTAGGGTCGCGGGGGGGCTGGAGTCTATCCCAGCCGACTTAGGGTGAAGGCAGGGGACACCCTGGACAGGTCACCAGTCTATCACAGGGCTACACTTAGAGACAGACAACCAAGCACACTCACATTCACACCTACGGACAATTTAGAATCACCAATTAACCTCAACATGTTTTTGGACTGTGTGGGAGGAAGCCGGAGAACCCGGAGAGAACCCACGCTGCACGGGGAGAACATGCAAACTCCTATTCTCACAGATCTTTAAAAAAAACCAAACAAACAAACAAAAAAAACTCCCCAATATTTTTCTACAAGCTGAGTCCGACCACCCCTGACAACTAACTAACTTTTTTCCACATGATTGTGGTACAGAGCACCTCAGTTTGCTCTCTGTTATTTAGTCCTCATTAGCCATTTTAGCCTTTAAGCTGTTTATCAGATTTGCTTTACAGTCACCCATTTCCTCAGTTACACTTTAACAGGGGACCAAATGACCATTTTCTCATGGTCTATTTTCATGGTTACATTCGTCAATATTTAGCTGCTGGGGAATCTTTGAATGTACAAGTGTGTGTGTTCAACTCTGGAGCACCAGAGCAGACGCCCTCTGGCATCCTTTTCTCAGATGGTGAAATAACCATTTCTTCACCCTGTGCTTAGGAAGTTCCCTCGGCCCCCCGGGGTGGTGTGATGAACGGATGTGAGATCACACAGCTGAAGTAACAAAATCTCTGCAGATATCACAACAACCACTGAGCCTATCATATAACATCTCTATAGTTAGTTCCAGCAGAGGTCACGGCATTATGCGTAAATAACATATGCGTCATTAATGGTGAGTTGCTGTTCAGTTTGAAATCACCTTAGTTCACTTTCAAAGTAAATAAATATTTGTGCATTCGTCTATAACTAATGATAGGTTGTAAGTCAGCGTGAGTCAGGTGTTTCCTCTGCAAACTAAATGCATTGTCAGCCACATTCAAGCACAGAATAACAAGTAGCACCAAACTTTTCCTTTCGTGATTGTCGGTCAAGTAGCTGGATACCCTACAAGTTAACCAGTGTTTTATCTTAATGTTCACTGAATTTTCCACTGCTGGATGCTCTGTAACCTTTGACCTGTTTTAGCAGAATATGTTAACATTCCTCTGTGCTACAAATGGAGCCCTCAAGGAAAAGTTTGTGGATTATTGATGAATTTCATAACCAGGCTGAGAGCAGATCGAAGAAACATGCCGCTTCATTGGGCGGGATAAATATTCAACAGGTACAACAACATGGAAAGTGCACACGCTGCAGCGATTCAATCACACCTTCCCCCCCGTTCACCTCAGTTTCTGAACGTATTTGGTGTGTTTTTGTCGTTTTGAGGCTGAATAATTAGATTACTGCATCTCTATGTCTCTGTCTGCCGCTGCTGTGTTTCCCTGTTCCCGCCTTTCCTCACAGTATAATAGCTGGATGAGCCACATTAGGTTAAAAAAAGGAAATAATTGTTCTGGGTGACAATGCAGTTCAATATGGCAGGCAGGCACAACGCCCTCTCTCTATGCCATGTCAAGGGAAATGGCTTTAAATGGGTTCAAAAGGGTTTTAACAGGATTAGAAGGCCTACAGTCAGAAATGTGCAAAGTGCAGATGCTTCCTTTTTTTTTCTTACAACACATAAGTGAAAGGCAGCTCCAGTGAATTGTGCGTGCCGGTGAGAAAGCCGCCTGCCTAATTTGTGTGCATGTATGTGTGCAAGCATTTTGTTATGTTATGTTTTGATGGTAAAGGAATGTCCTTCTCACTGATGCGTCCCTTTAGTGAGTTTGCAGTCTTGATTGCATTCTCATTGGGATTCAATCTGTGCTTCAGGCCGACTGTATAGCTGCTGTGGCGTCAGCAGCCAGATCCCTTGGGATCCCTTCGCCAGAGCCTGACTCATACTACCTCTGTTCCATCGCGCCGCTACATTAATACACAGCAAAATGCTCTTATCCTGCATTTGCTCTGCCCAAATAGCTTCTGCTATTTTCAACAAGCAGCTCGAGTCAATAAGCTGTCAAATCATCCACAAATTCAAGGTTGAGTCTGTGACATCTTTTTATTCTGTTACATAAAAACTGCTTCAGTGAATTGAATGTGGAGAGAATCAAACACATTTCTGTGCCCACACTGATGTTCATTTTACTGTAAAATCGGTGACATGTAGTCACACAGTGGCTTGCTAATTTAACATTTACAGCTGCTGGACCTGTCAGTGTAATCATGACTCGACTGGAATAACTAAAAATGGGTTACGTGGGTGTCAAGTATAGGATGAAGTCTGTGAAGGTGTGCTTGGTGTCTGGAGGCTGTGTGTTCACAGCCTGCTCTTTGGGGAAACGATGTGGATTTTGCTTCTGTTTCACAATTAAAACATTCTGGAAAGAGGTAGAGAGCATTTTATTTGCACCCTGACCTAAATCTTAAACGGCACTAAATTCCATTTTAACATTAGTTATAAATTGTACTGAAATGTGACTACGGGCTTCCAGGAGGTCATCCATCCATCCATCATCTATACACCGCTTAATCCTCACGAGGGTCGTGGAGGGCTGGAGTCTATCCCAACTTAGGGCGAAGGCAGGGGACACCCTGGACAGGTCACCAGTCTATCACAGGGCTACACTTAGAGACAGACAACCAAGAACACTCACATTCACATCTACAGACAATTTAAAATCACCAATTAACCTCAGCATGTTTTTGGACTGTGTGGGAGGAAGCCGGAGAACCCGGAGAGAACCCACGCTGCACGGGGAGAACATGCAAACTCCACACAGAAAGATCCCGGTGCCCCCACCGGGACGCGAACCGGCAACCTTCTTGCTGTTGGAGTTACAAGCTTCAACCACTTAGATGAGAGACTGTGCCGACAACAACTCCTTGCCTTTGTTCTTTAGAGTGGGAGTGGCAAAGAGAAAGTCACTGTTGAAACAAGCTCGTAATAAATCTCAACTAGAGTTAGCCAGAAGGCAGGTGAGAAACTCTGAAGTCAACTCGAAGGTTCTTTGGTCTGTTTAGACCAAAAGGCAGCTTTTTGCTGTCATACTAGATGGCTGGTGGACACCAAACAATGCATTCCATCATAAACACACCACCCCAACTGTAAGGCATGGTGGTGGCAGCATCATGATATTGGGATGATGTAGTCTGCAGGAGAAGATTTGTTTCCCAACCAGACCGTTCTTGCATGGTCCGGCTGGAAAACAAGCATACAGCCAAAGATACACAGAAAGAATTTAAAGACAACAAGGTGAATATTCTGGAGTGGCCGAGTCAAAGGCCAGACCTCAATCCAATTGAGAATTTGTGGCTGGACTTGAGGGGCTGTTCAATCATGATCCCTGCGCAACCTGACAGAGTTTGAGCCTGTTTGCAGAGAAGAATGGGGTATAATTAGTGTCCAGATGTGCCGGGCTCAATGCTGGAATTATCGCCCAAAGTGCATATTCTAAATACTGACTTGAAGGAAGAAGAAGTCTTTATTTGTCACAGATACATTACAGCATTGTGAGTTTATTTATTTGTTTTTCACATATTCCTTTTGGGTTCAGAGCACAGGGTCAGCCATGGTACAGCGCCCCTGGAGCAGGTATGATTAAGGGTCTTGCTCAGTGGCCAAACAGTGGCAACACTGGGGTTTGAACCTCTGACCTTCTGATCAGTAGCCCAGAGCCTTACCATTGAAAGGGGGTGTACACTTATGCAATTGCTAATTGCATTAAATTAAGTATATTAGTATATTAGTTTTTAGAAAACTGTTGAAAGGTAATAAAATTCCTCTGTATGAGGAATAAAGCGTAAGAATAAAGTGTAAGACAAACTGCAGCCAGACTTTAAACTGTTTTGTTGTCTACAACTTCTTGAATTGTACACATGACTGAGGTTGAATTCTCCTGCTGAGAAGGTGGATGAGGTCTGGTCTGAGGTAAAGAGACAGACTCTGTGCGTGTGTGTGTGTGTGTGTGTGTGTGTGTGTGCGTGTGTGTGTGTGTGTCGACCGTTTCTAAATGCTGACTTTGACAGTGTGAGGGTGGAAGTGATGCTGTAGCACATTCTCTGGGCTCAGACTGTCTGCCTGCCGATCTGTATGCCGTCTGTTCGTGTGTTTGTGTGTGTGTGTTGTGTGTAGTACCGCCATCCTTTTGAGGACTGAATGTCCTCACTAGGATGCAAAAATTAATTCTTAAAAAACAAGCACGTGTTTTTGTTGCTTTGACTTTGTGTGTCGGATTTAAGGTTAATGGATTTTTAGAGATTTAGGATTTAGAAGAATTAAGTATTTAAAACATTTTCAGACCTCACCCATGTGTGTCTGATAGGTAATTCTGTGGCCTCCGCATGGTGCTGTGGTCTCACATTAGTCAGAGTAAATGAATTTTTGGAGTTGCTAGACATCAGTGGAGAGTACTCACTGGTGTATTATTACAAATTGTTTATTTGTGTGGGGCATATTGAACAGACAGATAGGGACATGCTGCAAATCACAGTGTGAATATGTTCAACTCCAATAATCTCACTTCACCTAAAACTGAACAAACTTTTTAAAATTCCTCCTTTTCTCCCTCTCTCCAGAATATAGAGGACCACTTGGCGTTCCTGATCACAGTGCCCACTGCTCTCTTCCTCTTCCTGTCCATCTTCATCCTTGTCTGCATTGAGTCCGTCTTCAAGCGGATGCTCCGCCTCTTCTCTCTCCTTATATGGGCCTGTCTGGTCACCATGGGTTACCTGTTCATGTTCTCCGGAGGGAGACTCAGCCCCTGGGACCAGGTAGATAAATCTATATTTTTTTTCTTGTGTGCTTGTCTAGATGGGTAAGCATCTGTCTAAAGGAGATACAGACCTCTAAGAGTCTGTGGATGATAATGCGCATATCTGTAACACTGCAAGAGTTTTTCAATTTCCCATGGCACACATACAGTTAATAATCATAGCGGTGGTTAATTTACCAAATAATAGGTCCTTTATTTTTCACAGTGGGTTACAAAAATAGGTGTCTCATTTGTGTATCTAACATATTTTACCAGCTATCATGACCTAGCAAATAGGTTAACATTTTTTGACTTTTAAATGGTGCCTGCTCACTCATTATGAAGGGAGAACCCAATACGCTGTCTTTAAAATTCATTCATCATTGTCATAAGACTAAAAGTCTAAAGCTGCATATCCCAGTAAATGGTACATGCTCATGTTTGATGGTCGACACACTATAAAGTGAAATCTGTAACAGAATCACTGCATTCTGCGAGAGCTGCTGGATCTGTCAGCTGCCTTTGACACGGTTAACCACCACATCCTTCTCTCCACACTCACTGAGCTTGGCATCTCAAGATCTGCCGTCCGCTGGTTTGTGTCCTACCTCTCAGGAAGATACTTCAGAGTTCCCTGGAGGGGAGAAGTGTCCGAACCGCACAACCTATCCACAGGGGTTCGTCAAGGGTCAGTGCTTGATCCCCTTCTCTTCCCAATTTACACAACCTCACTCAGTGTAATAATCCAGGCCCATGGTTTCTCATACTATTGCTATGCTGATGATACCCAGCTCTTCCTGTCTTTCCCCCCAAACGACCACACGTTCTCTGCCCGGACCTCATCATGCCTTGCAGACATCT